TTAGTTTTGGAAAATCCGTACGTTTTGCGCTTACTTGTTGAAATCTCTCCAACTAAGAGCTTGTTTGGTAACCTTGTTTTTCGGATTATCGGGCTTATTAGCCAACTTTTTCACCAAACACGTAACTTTTGATTTCGCGTGCTAAATTGTGTAATAATAAGAAAAAGTAAGGTTGAAGTTACTTTTCTGGCTGTATTGGCTGAAGTTACTGTAGAAGATGATTTTAGCTATTTTTTCATATAACTTTTTCTTTATTTTATTAATTAAAAATATTTTAAATATAATTTTTTCATATATCAGTAGAATCAGCCAATCCAGCCACTTCAGTCAGAACTTCATAAATTTCAGCAGAATCAACCAATTCAGCCAATTTTAGTGTTTCCAAACGGCCTCTAAAAGCTTTTAGAAACTTTTTAAACAGTACAAAAGCTAGAAAGCAATATGCACTAATTGTATGTACATAAACAATTGAGTTTGAGTGTCAAATGGTATGTGAAATGGTACACAAACAAAATACTAGTGTTTGTTTTTATCACAATAGCTAAAATAAATGAAAACGACACTTATATGTCCATAATTTTAGATTTTAGATATTACGCGTAAATTTTGGATGGATTAAGAAGAGTCAAACATATACCGCGGTGTCCCAAACACTAGTTGGTCAAAAATTTGCATCCTTATATATATATATATATATATATATATATATATGCCGTTTCGCAACCCTCATTTTGGGTTATCAGGCTTATCAGCCAACTTTTTTACCAAACACGTAAGTTTTGCTTTCGTGCGCTGAATTGTGTAATAACCCGAAAAAGTAAGGTTGGAGTTACTTTTCTGGTTGTATTGGCTGAAGTTACTGTAGATGACCATTTTAGCTATTTTTACATATAATTTTTTCTTTATTTTATTAATAAAATATATTTTAAAAATATTTTTTTCTTGTATCAGCAGAATCGGCCAATGCAGCCACTTCAGCCAGAACTTCATAAATTTCAGCAGAATCAGCCAGAACGGCCGATTTTCATGCTGCCAAACGGGCTTATTAGTATATCTTACTTTATTCATTATTCTTATTCTTATTTATTTATAATAGTCATGTCACTTATTGTTTTATCGAGTAGACTTTAAGATTCTTTTTGTTTTATATTTGCTTATTATGATTATGATAAATGGAATGTTAGTTACAAAAACCGAGTTAAATACGCAGTACGTAGTCTAGAACAAATAGAACCATCATTATATTTTTTAAACATAATTAACTTTATCCCTCTTAAGTAGTCTTAATTAGAAAATTTTCATGCTTTTAGTAGAATTAATATGTCTTGTTTTGGGAATAAAATATAAATAAATAGTTATATTTGCGATTTACCTACTATCCAAAATGATAGTTTTGACCATGAAATAGTAGTAGATCAAAAGGATTGAAGCATGAAAAATAAGGAAAATACACAATTGCCATTTTTGCTCCAACATTTTACTCAGACTTTTCACGTTAAATTTGACTCATTTTCACATGCACACTCAACTCGTAAGAACCCTTTATCCAATTACCCATAAGGAATAATTAAATTAAATATACAGAAAAGAACAAGAAATCTCCAACCCTTAAAGTCCAAGTTAAATGTACATAACACATGTATAGTATGGAGTTGTACATGATTTAACATAAGGATAAAAGAATGACCCCATCAAAGGGAAAAGAACAAATCCCATTATACATTTTAACCACCTAATTAAATGGATATATAGATCACAATTGGCTTGATTTGAATTGGAATTTTCCCATTACTTAATCTTCTCAATAAGATCACTAAATTGCCAATCTTATATGAGGATTTACCAAAAAATTATGTGAGTGATAATTCTTTTTATCCATCATTTTATTTAATGCTTGAGACTTATTGCAGTTAAATTATACGGAATCTTATTATAATATATTTTGACACAATATTAAACATTTTGAATTCGGGTATTCATTCCAGTTAGAGATTAATTGCAAAATGACATTTGTACATATTAATATATACTTTTTGTATATTGGGCAAAATGACCATGAGAGAATTTAATCACTTTTTATAAAATTAGGTCACAAATCGTTCGTGTGTGTATAAATAAAAGTATTTTGAATATTTGTGAATTGTTCGCATGGAGAACTACAGCCTGCGATCATATATTGATTTGTGGGCTCGTCTGGATACTTTACACATATTGGTTGCCTATATTATTTAATTTGTATGAAATTATCTTTGGCCAAATACTTTTATAGAGGTTTTTCAATTTTTACTAAAATAAAGATCATGCATAAAAATGTGAGCACAGTTACTCTTAATATATATTTAGGGAGATTTACCTAAATAGGAGTAAATAAAAGGATAAATGCAACAATAGGAGTTTAAAGTTTAAATTTCCAAAATAGGACTAACTCTTCCTATTCTACCCTTTCCTTTGTCCTTGAAAATAGGATTTTTAAACAATCATTATAAAATATATAAAAAAAATCAAAATAAAAAAAATCGTAAAAAATAATTAAAAAATATATAGACCTCAACCACCACCTCCGCCACCTCCCATCACCGCCACCTCCGGTCGCCGGAAAAGATTGCCAAGTTGGGGAAAAATGTCATCATGATGAGAATTTTGAAGAGAAAGCAAGAGAAAGCTGGATATTTCAAAAAGTAAAAATGCCTTCTTTATGGCATTTTCAGAGAAATGTGGAATTTTTTACACAAGATGGCATTTTTTCCGGCGACCGGAGCCGGTGGTGCTGGGAGGTAGGATAGAGGATGTGTTGGCAGTGACCTACAAATTTTTTAAATATTTTTTAGTTTTTTTTTTACTTTTTTAAAAACATTTAAGTAATTTATTTATTATTTTTTATTTTTTTATTTTTATTTTATATTTTCACGTTTTCATTATTATTTTATAAATATTTTATTATTTTTTATATTTTTTATTATAAATAAAACTATGATTTTCTTATTAATAAAATAAATCTATTGGAAATTATAGGAAGGGGGTAGAATGGGAAGAAGAAATATATATTAGTCCTATTTTGAGAATAAAAAGGATTGTACTCTTATTGTTCAATTTTGAGCATATTTTAATCCTACTAAGGGCTATTTCCCATATATTTATGGTCATTGTATATAAAAATACAGCATGATCTTGTAACTAAATGTTGTCAATTCATGTTTTTGTCTGTCATGTAAATTGGATCATACATTACAAATTATGATGAATGGATTCATAAGATGAATGTTATGGTACTCATAAAATGACGGTAGTGTACCTGTTATACATCTTTAAATTATTCAATTACAAATTTCTAAATGATCTATAGAATTTGCCTTCCATAAACTAATTGTTTTTTTTTATAATTCAGGTGTCGGGACTTACACTCGCATAATCCTGGAGTCTATGAACTACCATCTAAAGCCCCTAGACAGTTAAATACGGATCTGATCACAGTCAGCCTCGTCAGTACTGAATACAAAGGAAGAATCCAACAGAACTTACATCATCTTTCAGACTGCTACTCCCACCACACGAACCCGAGTGAATTATCAAAATAGGACTAAAAGTCACTCACTTTTCACAAATAGGACCAAAAAATAAAATATGTTTTCATAGGACTAATTATGTATGTCTTGGACAAATGTACACTTATAGCTATTGAAATGTTTTAATTCATAAAAAATAATAATAAAATAAAAATTCATAAAGAATACTATAAAATTAATAAAAATATTTCGATAATAATAATTTATTTATTTATTTTCAAAAAAATTAAAAAAAAATAAAAAAAATTAAAAAAAATTAAAAAAAATTAAAAACTAAAAAAAAAACAAAATAAAATTCATCGCCGCCTCTGCACCACCACCTCCACTCACCAGGGGAAAAAATGCCAAGTTCATTACGAATGCCATATTTATGGCATAAAACAATGAAAATGTTGGCATTCTCAAAGAGTAATATGCCATGTTTTTGGCATATTTTTTAAAAAATGGTAGTTTTTAGGAAAAAATGAGATTTTTTTCACCAGTCGGAGATGGTGGTGCAGGGAGGTAATACAGGCGGTGGGAAAGGCATCCATTTTTTTTAATTTTTTATGGAGTTTTACTATTTTTTATTAATTTTTTAAAAATTAAAAATTAAAAAAAAAATTATTTTATAAATATTTTATAAATCTTTTAACTATTTTTTCTACGATTTTTTGAATTTTTTTCGAATTTATTATGAATTAAACATTTAATTAACTCATATTTAAAGGAAGGGTAAGAATGAAATGAAAAAATGGGTATGTTTCCAATAAGATTAATATTGTCCTATTTTGAAAACAAAAACATAGCAAGTCCTATTTTGAGTTTTTGTCATAGTTTTAATCCTATTTGAAGTAATTTCTAAGAGCATCTCCAATTCTAAAACGTTAATTGTGCATATGTGGCATGAGAAATAACCAATTAAAAAACAATAAATAGAATCTCTCTCTCTTTATTTGAAGGATCTTACATCATTTTGGTAAGTTTTTCTTCACAATGTCAAACACAATGTCTAGATGTAGACATCGTGGTTGACATTGAAGACAAAAATTTACCAAAAACACATAAGACCGTGAAAAGAATGAGTGAGAAATGTCATAAAATCAATATTTTGTGTCTATCTCTTTCATGTCACATGTGCACCGTGCACGTTGTATCATCGGAGATACTCTAATCGATGTAAAACGGTGAACATAATAAGCATTACTTTAAATTGTCTTTATGCCTACTTAATATGAAATGACCTCACATGATACATGTTTGCTAAGTATAACAAAATACATTGACAAGACCATGTAACTTTCTATACATGAATCCCTTATTACTATTAGTATCATTATCGTTTTTAATATTAAAAATATGGTCCTTGAGGCAATTAATGTGATGTAGTCCCATTCTTTCATCATTTAATATGCACAAATTATTGGTTTATTTCTCTATATGTCTTTCTCTATTCAGGAATTTGCAGTTCCCAAGGTAGTGTAGCGAGAGATGGGAAAAACTGGGAAATGGATAAAGAATTTCTTGACCGGAAAGAAAGGCACTAAGGAGAAGGTGGGAAGAAACAACTCTACAATAACTTCTGGGGCAGGAAACCAGGTCCCGTCAACACCGCCGGTTTCTGCCGCCACCCCCAAAGATAAGAAGAGATGGAGTTTCCGGCGGTCATCCGCCACCGCACCGCCTCCTGCTGGACAGCAACAAAACAGAGACTTAAATGCCTCAGAGAACACTATTAGCACCGCCACTCCTAATGCCAAAAGAGAAGCGGTGGAGTCGGATCACGACCAAAAGATGCACGCATTGGCGGCGGCTGCTGCCACTGCAGCCGCCGCCGCCAAGGCAGCCGTAGCCGTTCTGCAATTAACTTCTGCTTCATCTGGCAGATCCTATGCTCTGGAAGTGGCTGCCGCAATCATAATTCAGTCAGTTTTTCGGGGTTATTTGGTATAGTTCACTCACTCACTCACGATCAATATAAAGCTTTAGATTACTCGTCACTACTTCACATATTTAATCAATATAAAGCTTTGAATTACTCATCAATCATCATCACTTAATATATTTGTATTTAAATGTTATTTGTTGAAGAGTAAATTATTCTGTCATACCTGTTTGGAATGCATATTATGATATTAAGATTTAGTTTGCATATTGTAAGGTTAACATTTTACTAGGATTAGTCAAATTAATGCTCTATAAGTATGTATTTGTATATATAATTTGAAAGATGAGCCTGGCTCATTGTAGCTGATCAATCTTGAATCTCATGTGCACATTTGTAAGGCTTATCGGGATTGAATTGTTTATTAGACTTGATTGGATCATATAAGTTGCATTTCAAGTCGCCCGAAAAAGGCTATTGATAAGTTGGCTCCTAAGCCGAAAAACTAGTTCACGAAACGGGTGTCGGGCTATATATTTAATTTGGTCTATTGTTTTTCATGATAAGTAATCTTATGCACATGTTTTATTATTTAGACATAATAATAAAATGATCAATTGGATGATTTTTGTGCAGGCAAGAAAAGCGTTGAACGCATTGAGAGGGCTAGTGAAATTGCAGGCACTGATAAGGGGGCATTTGGTGAGAAAACAGGCGGCGGCTACACTAAGGTGCATGCAGGCACTCATCACAGCTCAGGCCAGAGCTCGAGCCCAGCGGCTTAAAATGGCTGAGGATCAAGAAAACCAGAGGCTATCACTTCATAGAACATCTACCCAAGACAATAACAAATTCCATCCCTCACCATATCAAGTACGTTTCATCTTTCTATTGAGTTAAATTGTTGTGAATTGAATTATTGGATACTAGATAAAATCATGTGTAAAATGATTATGAAATGTTTTGTGTTTGATGGAATTGGAAACTATTGGAAACATAAAGTAGGTATACTAGAGGAGTTTGAATAAGCAATTATTTTGGGTATGTTTGGCACAACTAGCTGAAAAGATATTTTTATAAGCTTTTTAGTAACTATTAGCTTTTAGTGACTGAAAAGATCTTAAAAGAAAAAGATAGTGGTTGTTTGATAAAAAGCTGACTGTTTGATTTAGCTCTGTTTGGTATACAAGCTGTTAGGACTAATTAATGTTAGAAGCTACAGACTTATCTGAGATGCTACTCACTGTAGCATCTGAAAAAAGATCTTTTATTTTTGTAAAAGCTCTTAAAAATTGGCACGACAAACATACAACTAGAAGCTTCTAAGGACTTTTTAAATAGTACAAAAGCTAGAAGACATGGACTTATGCGTGCCAAACATAGCCTTTATTTGGACTTTTTTCAGTTCCAGACAACATCAGATCATATCATACCAGATCACACCAGACTAGATTTGAATAGTTATAATATACACAAAGATCAAACATCTAACAAATCAGACCAGATCAGTTCAGATCATATCAGACCAGATCAGAAAATTTCAGTCCAAGTAAAAACATCATGAATTGGTTTTAAAAAATTGAAGTTGAATAAGAATTGCTTTTTAAAAAGTTGACCTTCCTTGACTCCTAAAAACTAGTTCTAATAACAATTTAGAGTACTTTCATTCAAAAGCTTCAATATCTTTTGACACTTTCATTTAAAAACTTCAATATCTTACTTCTATTTTCTGAAATAGCAGAAACAATTTTGAAGTAGATCCAAACATTACAAGAAGGTTTAAACTTTAAATTGGTAATGTTTTATGTTCTCACCACCTATACTTTTCAACTTTGAAATATGGTCAAATTGTGATTTAGTGCCTACAAAATTATGTGGTCCAACTATGTCCTCCGGAACTTTCGCTGGTTCGTGTCCATATGAGATAATTTGACAGAACTAAAATGGATAAAATGGAATTTGACTGAACGCTTGTACCTAACTCAAATGGACAAATCGATTGAATTATAAAACGGGTACTAAAAAAATGTTCAGATCTTTACCCTAGTACATGTTCACTAAGATAGCTTTTTTGGTTGGAATTATTTGATCCGGTAGAATCCCTTGAAGGATGACATCACCTGTGGGCGTAGCTCAACTGGTACTAAGGGAGTGTCACATGGGTTATGTTCCGAGTTCGAATCCCGGCAATTGCGAGGAGGGGTTATTATGCTAAAAATGCATAGGGCCTCTGCAAGTACCGAGGACAGAGCCACATTCTCTATCCCTAAGGGCACCCCATCCCTGAGGGCCCCCAACCCCGACCGGATGGTACGTTGGGAGGATGTAAATTGGACTATAATCCCAATCTGACAGACAGAGAGTGAGACTCTGTTCTCGGTACTTGCAGAGGCCCTATGCATTTTTAGCATAATAACTCCTCATCGCAGTTGCCGGGATTCGAACCCGGGACCTAGATCCGGTAGAATCGAGAGTTAAGTTATGATCGTGTTTTGAATCTGATTCGAGAGCCATTGAATCTAGTTCAGAACTCATACTATGTATTGCCATACCCAAAAGCAGGGGTGTTTGTCGCTTTGATTATATCATATTTGATTTTGTGAATTAAAAAAAGGTGACAATTCCGGTACTCATTTAAAAAATGAGATATTGTACCTATCATTCTCTTTTTTGGTTCAAACCATTATACTATCGTATCATTTTTAATTTATATTTAAATAATTTAACTGCAACATTCTAATTGGTCCATGTGGACGAATGTATGATACCTTATAGATACCATAAAATCTACCACTAAAAAATGTATTGAAGTAATTAAATTAAGAGTGTTAGCAAAAAAAATAAAAATAAAAACGTTTTTCAGTTTTGGGAACATTCGAAAAAGTGTTTCAAGCGACTGTTTCAACTTAAATGAATCACTTAAATGTTAAATGTTGAAAATAAAGTGATGTGTTCTTTTAAGTGCTTTTCACTTTTTTATCGTATAGAAATCATTTTTCCACCAAAATTATCAACTTTTACTTGTTGAAGTAATTAAATTAAGAGTGTTAGCAAAAAAAATAAAAATAAAAACGTTTTTCAGTTTTGGGAACATTCGAAAAAGTGTTTCAAGCGACTGTTTCAACTTAAATGAATCACTTAAATGTTAAATGTTGAAAATAAAGTGATGTGTTCTTTTAAGTGCTTTTCACTTTTTTATCGTATAGAAATCATTTTTCCACCAAAATTATCAACTTTTACTTGTTGAAGTAATTAAATTAAGAGTGTTAGCAAAAAAAATAAAAATAAAAACGTTTTTCAGTTTTGGGAACATTCGAAAAAGTGTTTCAAGCGACTGTTTCAACTTAAATGAATCACTTAAATGTTAAATGTTGAAAATAAAGTGATGTGTTCTTTTAAGTGCTTTTCACTTTTTTATCGTATAGAAATCATTTTTCCACCAAAATTATCAACTTTTACTTGTTCAAAAGCATTTTTGTCAAACACTATCAAAATCCACTATTTAAAAATTACTCTAAAATCACTTTAAAAATCAACTTCTAAAGTAAAAGTAATAAGAAACACTCTTTGATTAATTTTTTTTCAATAATTTTCATTTTCGATCTCTTTTGAGTTTCGACATGTTTGGGTTTGACCTATTATCTAACATAAACCTCAAAATTTTAAAAGAACCATCCATCATTTTGTTATTTTTTTAGCCTGGTCGGTTCAATAGTATATATTTTGTTTAATGCTTCTAAATTTTTAAATTAGTGAGTCTTCCAAAGAATCCAAAATATCCTTAATGACTGAGATTTGAAGAATGTTAATTGCGTGCACTAAAACAAGATTTCAAAACACAATGTGAATATTTTAGTACACATACTCCGTATGTAATATGGGATTAAATAAATTTCATACTTGTTTTGGCCAATATCCACGTAGGATCTTGATAGAGGGATGCTGGATGACACCATCAAGATTGTGGAGATGGATCTAGGAGCAACACCAAGGGGAAACCGAGACCACATATTATCAACTCTAAATGGGCCATACCCAAAGCATGAAGCCCAACAACACATCTCCCCAGCCCCATCCGGTATGACGGATCAAAGCCCAAGAGTTTATAGTGGACACTACGAGGACTACTCATATTGCACCCCACAAAGCAGCCCACATTGCCACTCCAAACCAACAACCCCAATTCTCTATAGCTCAGACTCACTTTACCACGAATACCCATTTTACCCCGGCTATATGGCTAACACTGAGTCTTCCCGGGCCAAAGTCCGGTCACATAGCGCCCCGAAAACCCGGCCCGAAACGTTTGAGCGGCAGCCTAGCAAACGTAGACCGTCCATTGAGGGGAAGAACTTGCCGAGAGCGGTCCGGATGCAACGGTCCACGTCTCATGTGGGCTCCACGCCGCAGAGTTACCATTATCCGTGGTCGATCAAGCTTGATCGGTCAAATATGTCGCTCAAGGATAGCGAGTGTGGGTCCACCTGCAGTGTTCTCACCACCAATACAATGTACAACAGACATGTGGTTGGCTTTGATGTGAGTATATATATCATCTCTTTTGTATGTACATATTAAAATCGTGCACTATTTTTACAAAGGATTTAGAAGATTGAACTAGGATAATTTATAAAATGTAGTTAAAATCTATAAATTGAAGAACTGAAAACAAGTTTATTAGTAAAAGAAGTATAGATAATTATAGTGACAAAATGATTGACTTTAAATCATCAATTTATGACATTGAAAACATGTTTGATAACATTGAAATTGGTAGATTCGGTTGATTCTGATGAAATTAATGGAGTTTAGGCTGAAGCGGTTAAATTGGCTGACTCTACTGAATTACGAAAAAAATATATTTAAGTATACATTTTATTTATTAATAAAATAAAAAAAAGTATGAAAAATAGATACAATATTCCTTCTTTAGTAACTCCAATCTTACTTGATTTGGCTATTCCACAATTAAATGCGTAAAATAAAAAATTGCATATTTGATCTTGTCAGCATCAATTTGTTTGATCTTGTTAAAGTGATCGATTTCATCTAGTCTATTTAAGTCTGGTACAAACTAAATTTTGTGTTCTGATAAGGTTTGATTGGTTGTGAACTCGACTAGTCTAGTTATTTTAATATTGGTGAGATCTATTTGATTTATTTCAAGTCTTTTTATAGTTAATATTTATCCATGCAGGTACAGGGAAATAGGTACTAATTACATGATAAACAAGAACGTGAGAAGAAAGTACACAAAGAAAGTACAACTAATGAACTGAAAAGGAACATTGTCATGAATTTGTAATGCTTTGCTCACTTCAGTTTGAATATTTGATACTCTTTGATGTGGTGTCCAGTGTATAAGTTTGATAAATGGTACATTAAGTATATGTATATTGTACAACTTTGGTATCTCTAGTCATTTATATATGATAATATTGTTCCACGAGTTCAGCTTCCATCGCTAGAATATTTCCTTAATATTCTATGTACTCTTAATATAATTAATTGTCTCCTAGTTTCCAACCAAAACCATAACCGGAGGCGGCGACTGTCGAAAGGCTATTATATGGTGGCAGTCCAATAACAGTCTAGCAGTACAAGCGACATGGTTCAGTCAGCTGGCGAGGGTCCACGCACCACGATCCAGCGGCCTAAATCGCATCGACAACTCTCGAAACATTGAGAAGTAATCCAAGTCAATCCTTATTTATTTATCACATCCATCACCCTTTTCTAGTGTAGAAAGTAAGGTCTTGAAAGTCCACTCCCCCGTACCCTTTTGCACTGGAGGCCCCATCAGTGTACATCTCTCACCAGTTGTCAAAATCGTTTACCTCCTGGGAGCCCTCCTCCGTGTGTGCTGTGCACTCCGCAATGAAGTCCGTTAGAGCATGTCCCTTGATCATCGGCCATGACTTGAACTCCACATTGTACTGCCCGATCATCAGGGACCACTTCGTAATCCTCCCACTCGCCATTGAGTTTCGGAGGATGGTGGTGAGGGGCTGCGTTGTAAAGACTATCACCGGATGTGCTTGGAAGTACGGTGCCAATCGCCTAATCGATGCAATCAGGGTGATGATCGTCTTCTCCATCAGCGTGTACCGGCTCTTTGGGCCGTTCAACGCCTTGCTCACAAAATAGATTGGCCGCTGAACGTCGTCTTCTTCCTTCAAAAGCACAGAGCTCACAGCTAGGTCGGCCACAACCAGATAAATATACAGCTGCTCTCGTGGGTCCGCTTTTGTCAAGACGAGCGGAGAGGAGAGTACGTCTTGAAATCTTCAAATGCTGCCTGGCACTCCAGAGTCTACTCAAAGGGGTTTGCCTTCTTCATGATCTGAAAGAAAGGAATAGCCTGGTCTGCCAACTTCGACATGATGCGGCTCAGAGCTACCAGGCATCTTGTGAGCCTCTATATGTCCTTTAGGTTCATGGGGGCCTCCATATCCATGATGACCTTCACCTTCTCGAGATTGGGCTCAATTCCACGTTCACTCATCATATAGCTGAGGAATTTGCCTCCCTTGACGGTGAAGGCACACTTCTTCGGGTTCAGTCTCATGTTGGCCCCCTCCATGATCGTGAAGACCTTCTCCATGTGCTGGACGTGATCATCCTTCTTTTTGATTTTGATCATGATATCGTTCACGTAGGCCTCCATGATTTTTCCAAGGACCTCCTTGAACAATATCCCGATCATCCTCTGAAAGGTTGTCATGGCGTTCCTCAAACTATTATGATTTTTATTTATTTTCTTTTTTAAAATATTTTAGTATTTTTAGACTTTTTGACTCTTTTAAAAAAATAAACCATGTTATTTTATAAACACACTTTGTTGTTCTTAAACCAAAGACATGTAGTTTATTGTAACCATTCAAAATGGAATGCAAAAAAGATATTATCAGTTTTTAGGAACCATTTAGCAAAGAGCATTATTATACTACATATGCCAACACACATTCAAGAAACGTCAGCTCTACATAAAAAGTTTCCATAACAACTACGGATTCTGAATTTCTCAAAATATTATATTGCAAAGTTTCTTGATTCATTTTCAAAATTGAAACTTTCCTTTATAATTATTGTAATTACACAATCAGTATTCCAGAAAGCTCCCTATGAGGCCAAAAAAACTTTAGCCACACAAGTTGAGTGGTAGTGGTCGCCATTACCTTATAGGCTAATACTCCACTTTAGGAGACAACATTGCCATTATTGCCAGTTTGTTTGTCTTCCAAGAGATTGGTGAAATTCACCGTCAATGGTAGGATGATTTTAATTAAACATGTGCTCACTTCCCTTCCCCTGTATCATATGGCTATTTCCCCTCTGTCCAGGAATATAATTTATAAAATGGAAGGAAAACTTTCCAATTTTCTCTGGGATAAGCATTCTGACCACAAAAGGTATACTTGGAGAGGTTGGACAAAATGCTGCTATCCGGTCCATTAAAACGGACTGGATTTCAGAAATCTTAATTATATCCAAAAAGTTTTTTTTTGCTTAAACTTATCTCGAAAGTGAATTATGATTCAGGTCTGTGGGCCTTTTGGTATAACTCCCTTAAAAATAGTTCCTATTCTGTTATGTACAAAGCTTTTAATTTTGTCAATCATATCTTTGATAACGACTGTCGATTACAGATTAATCAAGGGAACAACCCTTGTTGGTACACAAACTGGTCAAAATTAGGGCCTTTATACACCTACCTGGAAACAGTCCCTCTGAGTATCCGGAATCTTAACATCTGCTTGTCACGATTGCCTATTACCTGCCCATTTATGTGTAAATAATTGTTAATTTATTCTTATTTTATCCATATAATACCATCCACACAAATTGTCTTTTATAAATAAACGCACCAATTCCTTATGTACCAAACTTAGGGGTGACGGAGGTAGTACCACTTAGTGGTGCATGAATCCCGATTTCCTGGCAGTGGATTGGTCAAGAAAAATTAAATGGTTTATTAAGGCCTTTGTTTGGCCAAATGTCTTATGCTCAAGCTGAGTGGTTCACATCAAGACCTAAATTTTATCAATTTGCAGGTTGTCTGCCTGTTTGCACACTTACTGGTTTTAGAGTCTCCCTTAAGTGATGTTTTTTTGCAAAACTTCATGGATATGCAAGAGTGGGATCCCAAAGAAAACCATCGAAACTGGGGACCACATTTTCATCCTCCATTACTGCCGCAATTCATACTACTGAACAGATTGGTCCCACTCTGCAACTTATATTTACATTTGTTAAATCTTCAAAGAAGATATTGTATGCTAAAGCCACAAATAAGTTCTTTGATTTCCTCTGTAGCTTCCTGGCCACTGCTGTTGGATCAATGATACATGTTTAGGATAGACAGTCCGGATTAAAATGCTTGGATAACTTATATACAGGTGTGCTGGAGTTGGAGCAGATGGTTTTGTTCATCAAATAAGTGTGGCTTACTCAACCCACGCCTTGCAACACATTATAACTGCAAGAAGTAGCCTCTCAAATGTGTTAATAACAGTTACTATTATGGGGCTGCCCCCTAAGATTATTGACCCTAGGGGCGACATGAAATATTTTGTGGTAAAACCATCTTTGTTCTTGGTTCCGGATAATTTATAAGTGAAGCCACTTTTTGTTGCCTCCTGTTTTCTCATATTAAATGAATTAGAAATTCCCTTCGATCAGACTGAAGAGCAACATGTATCTGTAGGTATTAAAGAGGTAAACAATTAAGTGCTCTTCGGTGCTGATATAATATTTTAAAATACTTGGACACAATATAAGTTTGAACTTTTTGGATAGTATTCTTGTTCTTCGGGGGCTGCTTAATCATATTCATAAGAAAAAGAGGGGTCATAATGTCATTTTAAAGTTTGATATCATGAAAGCATTTGATAGAATTTCATGGACCTTTATTAGGCATGTGTTAAATAGTTTGGGTTTCCACCAACCTTTTGCTAATCTTATCATGAAGAACATGAAGTCCAGTTGGTGTTCTATTCTCAATAATGATGTTCTGAAAGGTTTCTTAAACTCTCAAAAGGTGTTAAGTAAGGGGACCCTCTTTGCCCCATTCTGTTTATCATGGCTGCTGAGATTATATCAAGTCAGATTAATACATTTTACCAAACCGGTAAAGATACTGCTTATCACACTCATAGAGGTATGCCTAATGTAAACCACCTTTCCTTTGCTGATGACCTTGTTGTTCTCTGTAATGCTGAGCAAAAAACTCTTGCTAAGCTCAACAAAATCATCTCTGATAAAAATAATTCAGGACAACTTATTAATGAAGGTAAAAGCTTTTATCTTATTTCTACACATGCAAAAAACCATAATCACTTTATTTTGCTTAAGCGCCCCCAAAGATGCGAATGTAAATTTAGACAAGTGAATAAAATATCAATCCAAAATTAGCACACAAATATTTGACGAGTGAAAATGCAAATGTTGGGAATTATTCGCACGTACTGTATGTATGTGTGTGTGTGTGTGTGTGTATATATATATACACACATATATATGAAAATTCTCAGGTCCAGCAGCTCTCGATCCGAACGCTGTTCGAACACCGTCGTTTGGGGCACTTTATGATGGAATTTTTTGATGAAGTTTTTTAATCATGTTCCTCATCAAGTCTAGTTTATCCATACCAAATTTCAGCTCACAATTAGATCGGGAAGGCAATCAAATAATTCGTTGAAGTTAACTGCGTTTTTCTATGTATAATTTGGCGCAGTTAACTTCAACGAATTATTTGACTGCCTTCCTGATCGAATTATGAGCTGAAATTTCGTATGGATAAACTAAACTTGATGAGAAACATGCTCAAAAAATTTCATCAACAAATTCCGCCTGGAACCACCCCAAACGGCGGTATTTGGATGGCCTTCGGACAGAAAAGTGCTGGACGGGAGAATGACTCTATATATATAGAGTAATATTCATGTGCGGCCGGCCGCACCAGAGGGGCCGTCCGGCCGACGGCATTTGGAAGTGGAATTTTTTGTTGAAATTTTTATGTCATTTTCTTCATCAAGTCTAGTTTATCCACACAAAAAATCAGCTAAAAACTCAATCCGTATGGTCTTCAAATGATTTTTTGAAGTTGACTGTGTTTTTTGTGTGTAATTTTGCACAGTTAACTTCAAAAAATCATTTGAAGAACTTCCGGATTGAATTTTTAGCTGAATGTTTTGGTGAATAAACTAGACTTTATGAAGAACATGTCATAAAAATTTAATCAAAAAATTTCACCGGGAAGGCAGCCAAACTCTGTCGGCCGGACGGCCTCTCTGGTGCGGCCGGACGCACGAGAAAACTACTACTCCCTCCGTCCCAAAAACAACTTTCCACTTTCCTTAAATGGATGTCCCAAAATAAACTTCACACTTCTACCCAATTCCTTATTTGGCAAATTATCAACATCAAAACAATGTCAAACAGTACCAAACAGTGTCAAACAGTGTTAAACAGTATCCAAACAGTGTCCAAACAGTAAAATTTTGGAAAAGTCAAACCCAAATTTTAATCTACCTAAATGTGTGTGCTAGTCAAACTGTGAAGTTGTTTTTGGGACGGAGGGAGTATATACTACTATATATATATAGTAGTATAAAATATATATATTGCCAATTGGTAATATAAATTACTCCCTCCGTCCCTTAAAACTTTGTCATCTATCCTTTTTGAGACGTCCCAAAAAACTTTGTCACTTTCCCTTTTAATCAATTATTTTGTGATTTCTGTTATTTCTCTCTCCTCTGTGCAAACCTTAACCACACAGTTTTTACTTTATTATTCTCCGTGTGGGTCAACTTTGGCAAAGTTTTAAGGGACGGAGGTAGTATAGAATTAAACATGAAACGATTATACTCCGTATTAATATAGTGTAGTGATTAAAAACGAAGTGTGTGTAATTTTTATGAATTTATTATGATTTTTGGTATTATTATTAAGATTAAAATTATTATTCTTAATAATTTTATTAATAATTAAATTGGTGGCAGTAAATAACCAATTGCGTGCTCTACATTTGTTCCATTTCCTGCTGTAAGGGCAGAGTGGGCTTCATCCAGGTCCATGTTTTTAATTAGTGTCTGTAATAATATTAGCCCACCTCAAAATTTCTTGCCAGCCCACTAAAATTTATTCCCAACCCACAGCCCAGCCCAGACTAATGAACTAACCTGCGCGCAGAGAAGAAAGAAGCGAATAACGAAGATTGAGGCAGAGCGTGAGACGAAGAAGGCTAGAACGGAGAACCTGTGAGCTGCGACGAAGACGAGAACACCAAGCCACCAGCCACCAGCCACGCCTTGTTCCGCCGTACACTCCGTGCTTCCGTTTTCCAGCGTCCTTCGACTCCTTTCTCTCTGGCTCTGCCTACGGCTCTGGCGCAGGTCAGTTTTTTAGACTTTTTCTCTCTTATTTTGTGATTGTGTTAACTTGTACTACGTATAATTTTTAGCCTTTTAGAGTGTTAGGGTTAGTCCTTGGTTAATCAATTTTATCAGTTGATATTTTCAGTGCATAATAAAATAGGGCAAAAATTCATTACAATATAATAATGATTAAAGATAGAATTAAATCTTAGAGAATGATTTTTTCCTAGTTTTTTTTATCCTTATATATATAAGCATTATTTGCAGCCTTTTTATTTTATCATTTTTATATGTATTCATCTTTTTTTATATTATCTTTTCATAATAGCTTATCTTTTTATCTTTATTCCTTTTTTTCCTTTTGATTGTGATATCATGTATCGATTCAGGTTAGCCGACCCCAATATCTTTTGGGACTAAGGCTTGGATGTTGTTGTTGTTGTTGTTGTACAATTGAAGATTAGAGAATGATTTATTTATTGTGTGGACATGTAAGAAAAAATTTAAAATTTCAATTGAATTTTAAAATTGGGAATACTTATTAGTTTTATGTACAATGATCGTTTTTTTCTTGTTAGTTTTATAATTTATATTTTTATAGAAATATTTCAATTCATTCCAATATTGAAAATGTTTTTTAGAATGGATAATGAACTTATACTGAACGAGATTTTGTCGATAATATAGATGTAGATTCTATCATTCGGAGTCGCGTAGGGAACAACTTAAATGATGTTTTGATGGATATTTAAAGTGTTGACGACTTGACGTATTATTATGTATGTGTCTTTCAATTTTTTTCCTCAGCCCACCTCATTGTAACTTTATGGATCCGCCCCTATGGCCTGGTAGCAGGGTGGTCAAGGGGTGGTCGCCGGCTGTTGGGTGGTGGTTGGGTGGACTCTGGGTGGTCGTCGGTCGCTGGGTGGTGGTCGTGGTGGTGCTGGATGCTCGCCGGACGCCGGTCGCTGGGTGGTGGTCGGGTAGGCACTGGGTGGTGGTCGGGTAGGTGCTGGGTGCTCGCCGGTCACTGGGTGGTGGTCGGGTGGGCGCTAGGTGCTCTCCAGTCGCTGGGTGGTGGTCCAATGGGCGTTGGGTGGTCGCTTGTCACTGGGTGGTGGCTGGTCCATGGGTGCTTGATGGGTGTTATGGTCGCAGATCCCGTAAATCTGGGCCAAATATTGACGCTAATACCGCAGGCCTGGGGATGGCGCACAAATGGCAACGCCGGATTTATACTTGACGCCACAACCAGGATTTGTGGCGATGACCCTCTAAAACGCCAATGACGAGATATGGCGATCACCATTTGCACCATCGACTACTATGGATCTGATGCAGTGAGAATTTGCTTTTAGGATGTAAAAAACAAGAGTTTATTAGAACTATTATTACTGGCTTATTTCACTAAAAGAAACTCCAACTTTTGAAGCCATTGTGCAGCTAAATTTAAAAGACGTAATAGAGTTAAAGAGGCTAATAAAAATAGGTGAAGAAGCAATTGATGTTATTTTACATATATTACAATTTCAGCCCATGCTGAATCGAAATGAGAAATCCGCCCCGCTATAAGCCTATATATATATATGTTTCTTTATTACAACTGATTCGTTTGTATATTCTCTCTTTTTAGTAGGGGGGTGATAGGTACACAGAAATTTGACGGTAAATTGAAGTAGAATTAAGATGAAATGGATGAACCGAAAAGAGAAAGATACAATGGAGACACTTCGAGTAGTCTCCGGCACTCCCACGACCCAAGTCCCAAACCAATTTTTGCCCGACTCTCCTTTCCCCCTTTCTGCTCTCAATATACTCATCTCCTAAATGGGCCAGCCTCAGTTACTAAGTTACTGGACCTAGAAACCACTTATTATACAATATTAAAACACTAATATTATTCTTATTAGTAGTACTATCTAGATCTCTATGAGGGGGTTTTCAGTTCTTTTATTGTTAATGTTTGGACTTTTTTACATTGAACTATATATTTTTTAATTTTGAATATTATCTATTACATTCAGATATGTTTTATTAGTATTGCTGCCACTTCTAAAACTTGTTACTGACTTGGAGTGTGTTGGGAGTTGGTTTTTAGGGGTAAGGGAAGGCATGTGAGGTTGATGACCCTCCTATATGTGTTTGGGAGTTTAAAAAATTGGAGGGGTTGATTTTGGAGGGCTTTTATAACCCTCCAAAACCCATCAAATGCTCAATTTAAAGTTCCCCCAATTTGGAGGATTTTGAAGGATAACAAAATAAATGATAATTTTAGCTCAATTTAAAATGAATACAAACTCAACTACTTGAATTCGATATACGTAGTATATCTTAAGCTGTTTTAATTATAATTTTATGTACCCCTCCTCATCCCAAATTTATAACTCTCAAACAAAAATAAGGTTTTATTTCATTTCCCCTCCCCTTTTCCTCTCATGGCTAACTTTCAAAATCTTCCCTCTCCTAAACTCCCAAACATACCCTTAGTGTTTTCAGAAATGTTCTCTACTCATAGTTTTACTATTTTTTAGCTGTGTTGTGAGTCTAGCTCAAACATTCTTCTTTTAAAAGGGTTACGGTGGGTCATACATTTTTCCTTCAGTATATGTATATATAGGGTATTTCCATCATTTGTAATGGAGCCAAAGATTCATTATTTTTTGGCTTGAGATTATGATGGAATAAAGCAAAATGACTCACTAAACTGTCTGCGTTTCTTTGTTATGAAGCAGCAGTCAGTCCATGCAGTTTTGGACGGGATTTTCACTATGGGTCATCCAGAAACAGTCTCTCTGTACAGGGGTAAGACTGCGTACATCCGACCCCCCCCTTACCCCACCGTAGGTGGGAGCTTTTGCGGCACTGGGGTAAATGAAAATGATGAAAATGGTATGTATATATAGGGTACAATTCATATAAAAATTGGTCTTCCCGTACAAAATGCGAGTGACTCCACTTTTGACCATTTGAGGTGCACTATTGCATTCAGATTATATTCAACATCCACTTTTAGTCATAGACAATACTTTTTGCATACTGGAAGTGTACTTTTTGCAACGAAAAAAACTCTCATTCAATTACGAAAATGTCTCCATGTTTTTCATCCACTTTAATGCATTTTTGACATATTTAGAACCATTAGATCATAAATCCGATGCTCTAGATTTATTCTTATTTTCATGGGAATGACTCTTTATTTTATAATTATTACTGTATTTCTAAAGGTGCCTTTTGTGTGCTGTGCACAAATTCCATTTGCAACTGTACATTTTAGTGAAAATAACTAATTTTCAAAACAAGATAGCTTTTGGAAAAATAGCCAAGTGTATATTGGTAAACTAGAGATGGGTGTGCATATTGGTCACTACAATGCCCATTTGGTAAACTAGACTTAGAAAATGCCACAAATTCAATGGCATATTGGTAAACTAGAGATGGGTGTGCATATTGGTCACTACAATGTCACTTTGGTAAACTAGACTTAGAAAATGCCACAAATTCAATGGCATTTTGGTAAACTAGAGATGGGTGTGCATATTTCCAAAAACATGAATTCTCCCCCTGTAAAATACATTTGAATGTCAAGAGCCCATAACAACTAAAAAAACAACATTGTCATACATGATAAAAAATGTTATAGATGGCCATCAACACCTCATTGTAATGCAAACTCATCTCTAGTGTCCCCCTTCCTTTCCAACGGGGCAGCACTTTTGTGTTAGTGAAACACACTTTTCCATAATCTTACACCATGATAATTTGTCACCCTGCAACAAACAAAAACATTTTTCTAAAACAAAACGAAGTATCTAAATGCAATGTAAAAATAATGGTGTAATACTACATGTGAATCAATGTACACCATTTTCAACCTTTGTCATCCCCGGAACTGTGGAGGAATTTCATAACCCCTCACCACTCAATAGACCAGGTGTTCTTGGTGTGGTCAAGCTCCCGGAGGAATGACAACATTACTTGGTTTCCTGCCGTGGAAATATGGTGTGGGATGTTGTGTGATTTTGGGATGGAAAATGAACTGAACAGGTTGGTCTATTTATATTGAAGCTTGGCCTGTATGCTGTGAACTCGTTGGTTTATTAACTGATAGGAAAAGAACACCTTATTATCTAATGGACACAAATATTTTTTCTAGCTTACTTCGAAATGACCTTTAGTAGTTGCTTTGCATATAATGCCAATGTACTTTAAAGATCACAATCTATAATTTGTGCTGCTCAATAAGATATGGGAGTACATTTCATTTAATGCAATACAAACCCTGGCCGATATTCATTTGCTTTTCTAAAGATCTATCTGCTTTTGCATTAATTAACCCAAGTTTTTTGAAAAGACAGTATGCAACAAATATTTAATGCACTCGTTGCTGACCCCTTGCAGCCTGTTTGAAGTGATAAAAAGCTGTTAAAGCAACAAACAATAAATGCATTACTCCATTTCAAACATGACCTATGTTGTCTGACTCGTTTGACCCGACCTGACCCGTTGATGTGAAGATTTTGGGTGGGAACATTGATCACATTTCCACAACAGTTTGTATATAGAAAGATTCTGGACGGCCGGCTGAGTATTCATTCAAAGCAATGAACCCAATTCAAAGACTTTGTTTCGCCATTTTCAGAAAACCTCTGCTAAACCCGGCTGCCTCTACTCATGCGGCTCTCCGTCGTCTCTCTGGCAAAACCGGTGACGACGAGTGGAACGTCGCGTGGGAAACCGCATGGCTGCCGGAGGATCTATCGGGGAAGAACCGAGCTCCTTGGGAGACTGATGTTAACTTCTCCCTTCCGGATGACACCTCGAACTCTCCTCATACTCCCCTTCCGTCGGAAGTTGACGGCGAAACCAGGGCATTTGTGGAGGAGATGAACGACAATTGGGATCAGAGAAAGGGGAAAAGTCCTAAAAAAAGCTCAGACGCTGATGATATTGCCAAGAAAAATGAAAATGAGAGGTCCATTTATAGTTTAGAGAATATGAGGAAGGATTATAGAGTTAAGAAACAGAGAATACATGCGGGATTGTGGGTGAAGGAGATTGAGAAGATGGAGGAAGCCAAGCTTGGAGTTGGCGGCAATGCTGATGATATCGAAAAGTTGCTGGATAGCGCCTCCGAGTATGTATATCAATTCTTTTTGCAATGTTGATTTCTTCTACACTATTTATGCGGATTGGAATGTGAAATTGGTTGTTCAAACAAGTGTAGGATTTTTGACTCTGCAAATGATGACTTGAAGAACGATTTACAAGTGTCAGGTATTGATATAAAAAACAAGCCGGATGGATGGGAAACAACATCAAAGAGTGTAGATGGGAACATCTGGGAGATGTCACAGAGAGAAGAAGATCTTTTGCTTCAAGAGTTTGAGCGTCGAATTGCATTCAACAAGTTCCAGGTTTGTTGAGGCCTGCTTGTTGGATTTATCTGATAGACATTTTTTAGGACACAGAATGTTAGTCAACTTAATTTTTATTTATTGTAACAATACAGATAGGGAGCTTTATAAAGACACACATATTCAGTAGAAGGAGACCAATAGATGGGTGGAAGTACATGATAGAGGAGATAGGACCAAATGCAAGGAAAGGAGGGAAAGGAAGTGTTACCAGGTTACCCACATTAGCTGATGCATCCACTCAGCCCTTTCATCAAGAGGGCACACCAACTCCACATCATGCTCAAAGAAGAACAAGGACAAGAGGCAACTAGCTCTTTCTCTGCCAGGTCAGTCTCACGTGGTGGGGTTGTCTCTAAAACATCACATTGTATCCAATCTCAACTTCATTCATTGTGTGTAACATATTACATTTGACTACTTGTGATCATAATATTTGTTTAATATTTTCTCTTTTTGGGGGGAGTAACCACCAAGAATTAAACAAAAGGGAAATGAGCAAAAAAACACCACCACTCCATGAATCTGTGTGTTAATTTGGTTAAACTGTGCAGTTAAATAATATGTTCATGCATGATACTAAGAAAAATCCTAGGAACCCTCTTTTGTGTTGGCTTAATTCTCTAACTTGGGTTGCTCGAAGTTCTTGTAGTTAGCAACATCTACGTGTCTGTCACATTATGTGGCAATATCTTCAATTTTGTTAGATACCTTAATTGGCTACAAGTTTTCACATCATTGCTAACTTGACAATTTATGCAGTTTGGTAAGGCTGCGATGTTGCGTTCATCTAACCTCCTTACCTGCACCGTAGGTGGGAGCCTTTGAGACACGGGGTAATTTTGTTGTTGTTGTGGTAATTTATTCTTATGTTCATCACGCCAAACCAAAATGAACTGATAAGAATCAACAACGTGAAAATCAGTTCGCTTTTCACCATCCTATCATTGTATTATTGTCTCAATTCGATTTGTTGTGTATACTACGATGGTGGTGAAGGGGGATGTTGATGATTGCCAAACACACCTAGGGATGGACTGAACCGGGCCAGTCCAACCCGGAACTGGCCCGGCTCGCTACTGTGCGGGCCCGGACTGGACCGGGACCGGTTGGCCGGTTCCGGGCTTTTAGCCTGTTCGGGCGGGTCAGGCGGGTCGGGCGGGTCGGGCTCGGGCCCAGTTTTGGGTGAATCGGCTCGGGCTGTTCAGGCCGGGCCCGGGTCAATTTTTTTTTTCATTTTTTTCTTTTCCTAGGTTAGGGCTGGGTGTTTTGGGGTGGTTTGGGGTGGGGGTGAGGGGGGGGGGGGTCGGGGATAACAAGAAAGCAAATAAAAAAAAATTAGACATTGAACTGGGCCTGGCCCGGTTAGGCCCAGACCCGGTATCAACCCGGGCCAGTTCCGGGCCCAAGGATTTGCAAAAAAAGCCCACCCAGGCCTGGCCCGGAAATGGAACCGGAACCGGACCAGCCTGGGTCCATCCCTAAACACACCTCTACTGATTGGGTGATATTTTGGCTTAGTCTATAATGTTAGTCACTGTGATGATCAGGCATAACCTCGGTTCAGGCCAGACTGGGCCTTGGTCCGGTTCCGCTTGGGCTTTTTTTTTTGGAGAAGTGAGGCTCGGAAACCGGCTCGGGTAGCTCCGGGCTTGGTTCGGGCCGGTTCACCCAACGGTTACCGGGCTTGGTCGGTTCACCCTATTTTTTGTTTTTAATTTTCTAATTACTTCCTACCCCTCACCCACCCACCCCAAACCCCTCCAAAACACCCAGGCCAACCCATTTACCTTTTAAAAAATGTAAAAAAAATAAAAAAATTGGCCCGAACCGGCTGGGTCGGTTCACGATTTGGGAGGCCTGCTAACCGCCCATGAACAGTAGCGGGCCGGATGGCCTGAATCGGAGATCTACTCAGGCACCGGGCTGGGCCGGTTTGTAACAGTGCTGGGATGGGCTGGTTACGGGCCGGTTAACCCGACCCGAGTCCATCCCTAGTCATGATATTATAGTTGCTTTCACTGGGCCTAATGTCATGAAGCATTTAGGGCATTTATTCTTCCTACCGAGACTTTTCAAAGAATGTGATTGGTGAGATAAAATCCTAATATCATCATCTTAGAATCTTTTAATAGTTGGTTGCGGCGATGGTGGTGATGGTTGTTACTTGCTAGCAGCGATGGAATCAATTTGCGTGCAATCATGGGGAGGGACTAGAACCAGAAATAGGTATAACTAGTCTGGTTCCTGGTGGTTGCGATCAGATTGATCCCGGGACCACTTTTAGTGCATTCAAATATGCATGTCCAGAACCATTGCGGTCCTATTTTGGAGAAATCGGGCTAGATTTGACTCGGTACTGCTCTGGAAAACCAGTTCCATTGTAACATCCCTATTTTCCCCGCCCAAAATAATACTTGGAATAATAATATATTGATAACCACTTTGATTTATTAATTCAAAATATATAGAGTTTTGCGGCGGAAATAATGATAATGGGAAACGGGTGTGTTACTGCCCCACCCAACCCTCAACTTGGCTGGATGCTAAGGCTATCCACCATGAGTTCAACCAAATTAAAATTTAAATTCAAAATTTACTAGCATTATTTAATCTAAGTGAAAACTACACTGAAATCTTCTAAAGCGCTCTCAAGGCTCATCAAACATCATGAACTTCATAATTCATATTCATCATTACCTGCACAAATAAAGTGCAGAAAACAAAACAAAGAAAAGGAAACAAAAATTAGCTTTAGAGCTAAATAAGTACTACCCAACCCCGTAAAATAATCAGGTTTGTCAAAAATAGTTTTTCATATAATACTATATAAAAAAACTCACTCCAACAAAATTCTTTTCTAATAAAAAACATCTTTTATCAATTTTATAATCTCAAATATCCTTATTGTTAAAAATAATATTTATAAGCTCTAAACAATTAACATCTCAAAAGAAGTATCACTTTTCAAAATAGCTTTTGTTGCTAAAAGAATCACCATTCTGAAAATCAATGTCACTCTTAGATTCTTTTAAGATGGGTGAAACTCAAGATTACTCGAGCCCAATGAATCGTTGTTGTGTATAGGGGTGGGCAAATATACCGGAAAATCGGTATGTCGCACTTAGCGTACCGAAAAATACCGGAAAATACCGGAATATTGGTATACCATCATTTTCGGTACGGTATGATACCGTACCGATATATTTCGTTACGGTAACGGTAAATATTTTCAAATACCGCGGTATACCGGTATAATACCGTACCGACTCCATACTCAACAATTGTTTTATATTTTTTAAAATATTGTAGAACTCCACTAAAATTTTCAAGCCCAATATTAATACTCAAGTTGAAATTAAATATCCAAAATACAAAAATTAAGGCCCACTTTTCCAAACCCAAAGCTCACTTTTGAATCGAATCGGTACAGATTTAAAAATCAGACCGTAAAATCAAAACGTAAATCATAAGATTCTATAAAAGATATAAAATAGGAATATATGTTTAAAATATTAGATAATAATAGTCACAATATATCATTATTATGTGGAATAATGTTATTTTTCTAGTCCTCCAATTTTATATTATTAAAAGCTCATAATAATAAGATAATGGAGCAAAAAAAAGTGGATAACAAAAGTGGAAAGAATATGGACTACGGAGTAGATGAAATGGTATAGGTGCATAGCTGAGCATCTTTAAATATTTCTAGTGGGTTCCAATCCCTGCTCCTGCGTAGGAGAATGGTGGTTTAGATTTCAAAGATTTTGTTTTTCTTTATTCCCAGTTCCCACACCAGACGGGGAAGGCAGCTACTGCTCTCAGTACCATTATAAATGCTGGCCTTCTACGATACTAGAGCCACACCAACTCTTCCGCATTTGAAGACAAGGTTGGGCCTTGCCCTCCGCCTTCCGTTGGGCCTTGCCCTTCGCCTTCCGCAGGCCCTCATTAAGTTGGGCTGTGTCGATAGTTTAAATCGTAAAGTCGTAGTTAAATTGCGATTTGGTATGATTTATATACGATTTTATCCGATTTTTTTAAAACTTGATTTTATATACGATTTGAATCGTAAAATCGCGATTTTAACAACCATGTTTTGAAGTATCTCATTCGGTGTGGTATGGTAATACCGAAAATTTCGGTATACCGATTCTTCGGTATGGTAAGGTATGAGCCTTTTTTCAAACTGATATTTCGGTATACCGAAACAATGTATACCGAAAGTCCCGGTTCAGTATCGGTATAAAAATTTTACATACTAGATTTTCGGTACGGTATACGGTATAGGGAGAAATTTTTGGTATACCATACCGAACCGGCCCTAGTTGTGTACGACTCATCCCAGAATTCTTGCTCCCACCGACCACAAATTGGAAACTGAACTTCACCCTTAAGTGTGCACACCCCCTAAAAGGGATTCCAAGCCATCCGAGTAGTAAGAAGTCCAAGTAGTTCGGACAACGTCCCCCTACCTCACAATGGGTTAGATACCCGGGTAATTAGAAACTACTACCGCGGCCACCAAAGAACTTTTAAAGTTATCAAAAGAAATACTGGTATTCACCCGCCACCAATATTTACCAGGATTTCTCCCGCCACCAATAATCAACTTAAACTTAAACTAAACCCGCGGTATATAGCTTTAACCACCCCCACCTCGTGTTTCTCTCGAGATATCAATAGTAATTATAAAAACATTATTCATTCTTAAAAAACATGTATCTCTATGGTCATCCAAAGTATCTATTTAATAGATACTGATGGAGTAATGGGACTAGGCCCAGAGCCTAATCAGCCCAAGCCCCAAACTTGGACCCATGGATCTAAGTCCATAACCTGGAGCCTGCCAGCTAGCCCAGCGGGGAGCCTGTCAGTCCGTCCGACCTCCTAGCCCGGAAGAGTAACGGTCGAGCAATTAATGCGCTATTAATTATGTATTTAATTCCGTATTAATGTTGTAATTAATTAGTCATTATTATCGGTAGCAGTTACGATTTGTATACGCCTATAAAAGGTGGGTTGTAATTCAGATTAGAGGGGGCAATTTCTATATGTTATTTCTGGCTAACTTTCCATATTCGTACTTTCCTAATTCCTGCTTGAGTGTCGTACGTAGCTTTCCTAAAAGCCTACGAGCGTCCTATTTTGGACCAACATTGGTGCTTTCATTGAGAGCCGAACTCAAGTTTCACGCCACTTTGGCATATTCGGCGGAGGAAGCAAGCTGCCCTGATGTAGATCGGAAACTAACGGCGTTGTTGCTACGATCTAGCAATCCACTCCCGGGTGAAACAATCTAACAACAAACCAGAAATGGACGGAGGAAACAACAAAATCCGTGCCATTCCGGTGACCGATCGCGTCGCTTCTACGGTTGCTCGCTCATCGACTTGACCGGCGGCCGCTCACCTATCCACCTTACCAAGTCGCCGCTAAACTGTACGCCTCGCCATTACCACAACTTGAATCATTCCCCCACTGAAGGTGCAGTGATTTCCACCATTAATGGCGACTCGGAGTTCATGAAGCAGTAGGAGAGACTATCTGAGACCCAACCAGAACTTCCGACAGACCCTCTTCCGCTCTCTGGTGACA